GTTGCTGTTTCCTTCACTGTGCAGAAGTTTTTTATCTTTTTTAAAAAATTTATTTGGGGCGCCTGGGTGGCGCAGTCGGTTAAGCGTCCGACTTCAGCCAGGTCACGATCTCGCGGTCCGTGAGTTCGAGCCCCGCATCGGGCTCTGGGCTGATGGCTCAGAGCCTGGAGCCTGTTTCCGATTCTGTGTCTCCCTCTCTCTCTGCCCTTCCCCCGTTCATGCTCTGTCTCTCTCTGTCCCAAAAATAAAATAAATAAACGTTGAAAAAAAAAATTAAAAAAAAAAATTTTATTTATTTTGAGACCAAGAAAAAGCGCAATTAGAGGAGGGGCAGAGAGAGAGTCTTAAGCAGGCTCCTCACTGTCACTGCAGAGCTTCATGTGGGGCTTGAACTCATGAACTATGAGATCCATCACCTAAGCAGAAGGGCAGTGCTTATTAACCAATTATTATTATTATAGTGCTTATTATTAATCCAGGTGCCCCACAGAAGCTTTTTATCTTGATAAGGTCCCAATAGTTCATTTTTGCTTTTTTCCCTTACCTCCGGAGACATGTTAGTATGCAAGGATATTTTAAAAATCAGGGGGTGGTGATAGGTTTATTTTCAAGGCAGTCTGATAGGGGTGCCGGGGACACTAAAACTAGAAACTTGGTTTCTAATCCTGGCTCTGCTGTTATCAAGCTGCATGACGTTGTAACTCTTTTACTTGTCTTGTTTTTGGTCTTCTTCATGTTGAATTGGTACAGTGGCAAGTGCATAGGCTTCAGTGTCCAGTACTGATCCGAGGTGGTTGTATCTTGATTTTGCTACCTATGTGACCTTGCACAGAGTTCTCTGAATGTTAATTTTATTTCTCTGCAAAAAGAAGGAAAGTGATTCCAAGTTCTTTGGGTTTAGCGATTGAATGGAAGGAGATGTTTGAAAATGTTTAATAATACTTGCTACTGATTGGGACATAAGAATGTTACCTCATCTTGAAAAATTAGGCAAGAACCAGATGATCTCTAAAGTCTCTTTTACCAATAGAATTTTGTGATTGTATTTTAAACAATTATTGTGGGGCGCCTGGGTGTCTCAGTTGGTTGAGGGTCCGACTTTGACTCGGGGTCATGATTTCACAGTTCGTGGGTTTGAGCCCTGCATCAAGCTCTCTGCTGTCAGCACCAGAGCCTGCTTTGGATCCTCTGTCCCCCTCTCTCTCTGCCCCTTCCCCACTGTTTTTCTCTCTCTCAAAATTAAATAAACATTTTTTTAAAAATCTTGTTATAACAGAATAATTTGGAAAACTTGTGGCAGCACAGTTCTGAGGCCATGTAGGAGAGCAGTGAGTTTTCAAGTCTGTAAAACTGATGTTGACCATATTTTCTACCTGTTTTCCATATTGCAGTGTCAGATGTCGTAAATCTCAAAAAGTTGCTTGCAATTTTAAGACTCATTAAAGAATAATATAGATTAGAATTTCGTGATTTAAGAGTTTTTAAGTCACTTATAATTTTATGAACAGATTTTCACACGTCTTGTCAACTCTTGAAATTATAGGCAAAAACTTTACGTAGTCTAAATTATAGTGGGGAGCTATTAGCTTTCATAGTGAACAAGACAGATTAGATCTCAGCTCTTGTGGAGTCTATATTCTAAGATAGATATTGAGTAAGCAAATAAAAATATAAGAAGAAAAATGTAACATAGATAATGTAAATGTTTTGTAGAGAATTTAAGTACAGCGATGGACTATAGAATGATTTAGAGTTTTAAGTGGCCAGGGAGGATGTGACATCTTTGGTGGCATCTAAGTGATAAAGAGTGCGATCCAACTCAAAGATTAGATAGAATACCTAGTACTAACATACTAAGGTGAGGATAAGTGTTAGAAAATGAAGTTGGAGAAATAATTACAGGTCATATCATTTAGGGTTTTGTAAACAAGAATAATAAATCCAGATTTTATTCTAAATATAATAGAAAGCTTTTTCAGGATTTTGGCTGGAGAATGATGTGAAAACTCAAAATAGAGACCTGATGATTCCAGCATTTAGGAGTTTTAAGAGATCAAAAACAGCCAGCGAGTTAGAAAGGATGAGGGGAATGTGGTTCATTGATGGTTTCAAGAAGCAGGGAGTTAGTAGTTGTCTGTTTCATACCTCATTGAGAAGACAAATGAGATTAGAACAAGGACCTGACCATAGATTTGGCAGTAAGTTTAGCAGAATTACTGTGAAGTTAGTATTAGGGAATGCAGCTTTGTAGCATTGGTTTTTGAATGAAATCGCAAGTAGTTTCTTCCTACATTATATTTAACCTTTTATTTGTGAATGGTGATCTGGTTAAGAGTTTGGGTTTTGTGCCAGAACATCTGGGTTAATATCTTAGCTCTATTTCTTTTTATCTTACTCAGCCTCTCTAAACTTCCACTTCTCATATCTGTAAAATGGGATAACAGTAATTACCTACCTTTTATGTGTTCTGTGTAAGGCGTTTAGCATAGTATGTGGCAAATAGCTGTATTCATAGTAAAAGTTATGACATGGTATAAAAACATTTATTATACATTTATTTGAGAGAGAGAGAGAGAGAGAAAGAAAGAGAATCTTAAGCAATTTCCACACTCAGCGCAGAGCCCGACCTGGAGTTTAATTTCATGACCCCCGGATCATGACCTCAGCTGAAATCAAGAGTCAGATGCTCAACTAACTGAGCCACCCAGATGCCCCAACATCTTACTATATTTTGTGCCCTTTGGGGGTTTGTGTAGTTTATAGCGTTTGAGAGAATTAAGTGCTTTGTTTTACCTATACTTTAAGATGAACAAGTTTTAAGTTGTCTAGAAAGCCATACTAGTAAAAAGGAAGGAACCATTAAACTCTTTTTGCAGAGATTAACAGGATCAGATTCTTTGCAGGCATTGATATATGTTGCCATGCTAATCTATAGAAAAGTTTATGTGAGTGATGCTTTATCTACTCAATCAGGTTTAGCAAGCAATTTATGACTAATATTCAGTTCCTTTTCTGAACATTATGTCTTCTCTAAAAATTTACCCCCTCTTTTTGAGCATTCTGCAACCCAATGCACAAATCTAGCATTTGAGTCTACAAGTGAATAATTAGGTAGTGTATTTTCTTTTTTAACATTCCAGAGGAGTTTCAGTTTATTAAGTAGTAATAACTTATTATAATCATACTTGTAGTTACTCATAATGTATTTGATTAAATCTATTGTATTAGAAGTTTTTATCTTTAAACATTATAGAAATCAAAATGTGAGTAATTTCTTTATTTGCTCATTCTTGTTATTGCAAGGGTCATTTCAACACACATGCAGATAACTTGGGGTGCCTGGGTGGCTCAGTCTGTTGAGCATCTGACTCTTGGTTTCTGCTCAGGTCATGATCTTATGGTTTGTAAAATCCAGTCCCATGGTGCCTACTTGGGATTCCGTCTCTCCTCTCTCTGTCTGCCTCTCACCTGCTTGCATGCATGCACACAGCATGCTCTCTCAAAATAAATAAAATTTTAAAAAAATGAACTATTTCTTTGCCCATTTTTGTTATTGCAAGGGCTATTTTAACACACATGCAGATAACTCTAATTTTAGATCCTGAACATGAAATTAACTTGGTAAAATACATGTATCTTATAGCACCTTTGCAAAAACACAAACAAAGCTAAGATTACTCAGAAGGCAGATATTATGACTGTGCTGTTTCACTGTTTCCCTAGCAATTCAGTCTGGCACATAGTAGTGCTTAGTAAATATTTGTTGAATGAATGGATAAATTTTTAACATACCTAATGAAAACTGTTCTGTCATCAATAATGGACTTGCATTTAAGGTTGAGTTGTTTCAATAAAGCAAGAAGTAAATGTAATGCTCAAAGAATAAGGTATATAGATAATTTACTTTCCTAGTTAATTACAGCTTAATTATTTCATCTTTGTAAGCAGTTTCTCTTGAGCATAATCAAATCTTTAACAACTTGTGATACTGTTACTTTCTTCTGTACATCAATTCTCATTTTTAGAAACTACAGTTAGATAAATAGTACATATTATTTAAGATGTGCTGTAAGTTTTAGGTTGAATTTTATATATAAAAAAATTTTCTGTTAGACACAGGTGATAAGTCAATTTGGCTTTTATCTTCTGCCAAAAAAGAGGGTAGGAAATGAAATTTGAACTATAATTGTTGTACCATTAATAAATCTGAGAGTTTAAAAAAATCTTTTGAAGTAAATAATTATAACTATGCAGTTGTTCTAACACACACAGCACACTATAGCAACAGGTGTAGGCCATAGCAGGGGCTTAAAGGTAACTAACTACTGGTAAATAAAATTCTTAACGGTGTCTAAAACCCTTAAAAAGACTTTTAAAAATTTCACAGACTCTTTGTTATCTGATACCCAATTTGATGATAAAATATTTTCAGGTAGTTTTAATTTTAAGCCAATTTTTAAAAACTCTGTCTTGAGGTATAACATACACAGACGCTTGATAAATGCTCACAGCTGAACACATTCATGTAATTGGTATGCAGCTCAAGAAACAAGATTATTAGCCAGTTTAAAAAGGCTAATTCTTAAATATAAAACAACCGTAGACTTAGATAAATTTGCGAGATTTAGATCCTGGATCTAACCTTGTTACTAACTTCATTTGTTACCTTGGGCAAGTTATTTTATCTTTCTGGGGTCCACTCCACATCTCTACAGCAAGGACATGAGACTAGAAGTTTTATTATGACTTTATTTATATGAAAGTGCAAAACAGTGGACCATAGTGATATAAATGTGGTATAAAAGAGTGTAGGTAATAGAGTGTGAATGCAGTTTAATTGAAAAGGAAAACACACTAATTTTTTTCTTTTTTTTTCTGTTTGTTTTCCAGGTTATATTTCACACTATGTGCTGACTGTATCTAAGGAAGATATTTAAAAAAAAAAACTTTTTTCAAAGATTTTGATTCCAGTGGAATCTTTGCTTTAGATTATTTGTGTGTGTGTGTGTGTGTGTGTGTGTGTGTGTGTGTGTTAGTGAATTGTAACTCCAGTAACAATGCCTGTACAAGCTCCACAGTGGACGGATTTCCTCTCCTGCCCAATTTGCACTCAGACTTTCGATGAAACAATTCGAAAGCCCATCAGTTTGGGTTGTGGCCATACTGTCTGCAAGATGTGCCTGAATAAACTCCACCGCAAGGCTTGCCCATTTGACCAGACCACTATCAATACAGACATTGAGCTCCTCCCCGTGAACTCAGCATTGCTGCAGCTAGTGGGTGCTCAGGTAAGATGGGTGACTTATTCTTTTTAATCTCTGAGTATATGTGTTTTCCCCTTAAGAGAAACTTGTTGAATTCAAATTGGGCAACATTGCCTTCTATCTAAATAGATAAAGTTCTGTTCAGTACCATGCAGACCCTTTATTTTAGTGTGTTGGGAGATTTATTGTTGTAGTGCAGTGTTCCTCCGTCATAACAGTCATTTAATCTGGTGATCAGCCTTTCTCAACAATCTTAGCTATTGAGATCACTAGAGAAACCTAAGAGGCAAATCACAAGGACTATTTTTTGAGAGAGAGAGAGGGAGGGAGGATGTGTGGGGCAGAGGGGAAGGAGGGAGGGAGGGAGAGAGAACGAACAAATGAATGAATGAATGAATGAATCCCAGGCAGGCTCTAGGCTCAGTGCGGAGCTCAACATGGGGCTTGATCACACAGCTGTGAGATCATGACCTGAGCTGAAATAGAGTTGGACGCTCAGCCAACTGAGCCACCCAGATTCCCCTTCTTTTTTTGTTTTTTTTTTTTAAGGACCTCTTAATATTGGGGAAAATATTACTCATAAAAACCATTGCATTTTACTAAATAGGAGAAGTGAAGCTGCTTCAGATAATTTTACTTAGTAGACACTACTCAAATGAAAGATGAAGAAGGTGACAAAAACTGTAGAGTGCATAGCCTTTGGGAATCATTTTTCTAGAGTAGGAGGAAATATATCCCCAGCTACCTAAATAAAGGTAAAAGTAAGTCTGGCAGTTCTGATGGTAATATTCTGAAAATTTTCTCTCCGTATTCTCAAAGTAGAGATCAGTAGTATCCTCAGAAGATTTCACAAAGTCAAGGGAGGTGAGTTTTTGGAAGCTAGATAGTTACTTAAGTAATCCCTTGCTAAATTTGCATAGTTTGAGTCTGAAATGCCATATATTTATCATAAATCATTTTTCCAAATAGATATACTAGAACTTTGGATCTGGCCCCATTAATATTTTCTAGATCAGTCTTGATGTAAACTGCTAAAATGTAGGAAAGGTTGATATTACATATGTTGGAGATAAAGAGAATAGAGTAGTTTATTCAAAAAGAAAACTTCTTTTATTGATAAACCTCTCTTGTGATGTCACCAACAACACTATAAAATATTTGTCAAAAGGGAAAGTGCAGTTGATCCTTTTTCTTCTTGTACTTAATTTTTCATTTCATAATCATTTATCTTTTTATTTTGAAAATCCTGTTATCACATTTTGGAAACATTTTTTAAAAATAGACTTAATAGGGATAATAATTTTAGAAATACACTATTTTTTTTTAAATAGCAAATAACCAAGGGGGCACCTGAGTGGCTCAGTCGGTTAAACAACTGACATCGGCTCAGGTCATGATCTCATGGTTCATGGGTTTGAGCCCCGCGTCGGAATCTGTGCTGACAGCTTAGAGCCTGGAGCCTGCTTCAGATTCTGTGTCTCCCTCTGTCTCTGCCCCTCCTCTGCTCATTCTCTGTCTCTCTTTGTCTCTCAAAAATAAATAAATGTTAAATAGCAAATAACCAAGGCTTGCTTTTTTTTATGAAGTTGTCTAAAGATGAACTCCTTTCTGAAAAATGAGTAAGACTATGTCATACCTTAACTGAAACAACTAATGTTTATGAAATTTGAGGATAGGGCATTTTAATATATAGAAGCCACTATTTTAGCCCTAAAGAGTTCCATTAAAAAACTGTTAAGACTTAATACGTGAATTAAGCAAAGTTGCAGTATATAAAAGCAACATGCAAAAATTAGTTGCGTTTTTATACACTAACAATGAACAATACAAAAGGAAACTAAGAAAACAACTCCATTACGGCAGCATCAAAATAATAAAATACTTGGGAATAAAAGGTGAAAGGCTTATGCACTGAAAACTACAAAACGTTGAAAGAAATTAAAGAAGACATAAACAAACGGAAAGACATTGCATGTTCCTGGATTGGCAGACCCAAAGAAATCTACAAATTCAGTGTAAGCTCTGTCAAAGTCCCAATGTGTGGTGGTGTTTTTTTTTTTTTTTTCCAAAAGAAACAAACAACAACAACAAAAAACCCTAAAATTTATATGGTATCAGAAAGGACCACGAAGTAGTCAAAAAAATCTTGAAAAAGAACAAAGTTGGAGGAATCACACTCCAGATTTTGAAACTGCAAAGCTATAGTGATGAAGACAGTGTGATACTGGTATAAAGACAAACATTTAGATCAGTAAAATAGAGTCCAGAAATAAACTCACACATACAAAACGATTTTTGACAACATTGCAAAGACCATTCAGTGAAGAAAGGACAGTTTTTCCAACAAATGGTGCTGGGAAAACTTGGATATCCAAATGTGTACAAGAATCCATTTGGACCCCTACTTCACGCCATCTACAAAAATTAACCCAAAATGAACCAATGTAAAAGTTAAAACTACAGAACTCTTAAAAGAAAATATAGGCATAAGTCTTTGTGACCTTAGAATAGGCAGTGAGGTTTTTTTAGATAGGACACGAAAAGTACAAGAAATAAAGGATAAATTGAACTGAAGACTTAAAGCTTTGTCCTTCAAAGGACACCATCGGAGCGAAAGAACGACTCACAGAATGAGATAAAATAATTGTAACTCATAGATCTAAAAGTTGTGTCTCAGATGTAATAAAGACTCCTACAACTCAATAATAAAAAGGACATAATTTTAAAATGGGCAAAGATCTGGACGCCTCACCAGAGAAGATACACGGATGGCAAATGAGCTGATGAAAAGTTGCTCGACGTCATTTGCCACTAAGGAATTACAAATTAAAACCACGAGATGCTGCTATACACCAGTTAGAATAGCTTCAAGGTCCAAAACACTGACAGCACCAAATGCTGGTGAGGATGTGGAGCAACAGAAACTCTTATTGCTGGTGAGAATGCAAAGTGGTGTAGTCACTTTGGAAATTACTGCACGACTCTATGATTCTGTTTACATGAAACGTCCAAAATGGGCAAATCCACAAGAGACGGAAAGCCAATTAGTATTTTCTTATGGTTGGTGGGGAGTTGGGAGGAAATATGGGAGGGGTGACAGTTAAGAGTATGGTGTTCTTTGGAGGGGTGATGAAAATGTTCTAAAATTGTAATGGTTACACACCTGTGAATATACTAAAAACCATTGAATTATATATCTTAAATGGGTCACCTACATGTTATACAAATTATGTTTCAGTAAAGCGATTATAAAACCAAAATAATGCATTAAATTTAGTGTGTTAGTATAGAAAAGGTCTTTTGAAAGGCTTCAGTAAATTTAGTGGGAGTTTTGATGTTACCACTTTAGAGTAGCAGTGCATAAAATATACTTAATAAGACATTTGTTTAATTAATTAGTGTGCACTCATACAGACCTTTTTTTTGACCTCAAGGTCCCTGAGCAGCAGCCCATTACTCTGTGTAGTGGGGTTGAAGATACAAAGCATTATGAGGAAGCCAAGAAATGTGTAGAAGAATTAGCATTGTACCTGAAACCACTCAGCAGTGCTAGAGGTGAATCAGATGCAACTATCCATGCCAAATAAATGTTTATGAAAGATGCTTTTCTTACCATAAAAATGGTGGGGTGTAAGTGAATGTTAATGAAATTCACTTATTTATTGTAAGTCAAACCCACTAGTAGTAAATAATATCATTACAAACCATTCCAAGAGATGAATTTAAAGTTTATGTGATGTTGGAAACATTTGAATGAGTTGCAAAAGTAAGTGTGAATATACTAGTGGCTTCAGGAGGGCTCCCTGCTATTTGACAACTCTGGATTATCTGCCTTCTTTTCAGTTTTATATGATGTGCCATAGAGAATGTAATAAACTTGGAAGTTGCTGTTACCGCCTTGCCATTATGGCTTATTGTTTCAATAGGAACATAAAATTAACTGTTATGAAATAATATGCCAGAATTGTTATGACCTCAAGATTTGGGTCTTAAATTAATTATTAATTTTGTCCCTCCATGGTTGTGATGAATAATAATATATTTAATGTTACAATGAATATTATTTTTACGTGATATAACAACTTTTGTATATTTTTAAAATGAAAACGAGGCTTTTATTTATATCATTTTATCTCTTGTTTATTAAAATGAAAACGAGGCTTTTATTTATATCATTTTATCTCTTGTTTATTTTAAATATCCTAGTAGAAACCAGAGCTGTTCACATATCCATGAAGTCGGTCAGCCCATCAGAGGAAATTTTTTTGGACTCTTAAAAGCTGCATTGTAAACCTAGAAATAACTTTTTACTCTCTTTTAAAGGAGTGGGTCTGAATAGCACTACTCAGAGTGTTCTGAGTCGCCCAATGCAGAGGAAGCTGGTGACTCTGGTCCACTGCCAACTTGTGGAAGAGGAAGGCAGGATTCGTGCTATGAGAGCAGCTCGATCTTTAGGTGAACGAACAGTTACAGAGCTCATTCTTCAACACCAAAATCCTCAGCAACTGTCCTCCAATCTCTGGGCAGCAGTCAGAGCTAGGGGCTGCCAGTTCCTTGGACCAGGTATGTGATTAAAGTTTGATATTTATTATGCCAGTAATTCTAAAAGTATGGTGTCAGAACTGTAAGTGCCATGTAGAAAGACTAGTTCTTTGCAATATCTGTTGTTACAAAATAATATCCCACTTGACGATCATGGCTTGGGCAATTCCATGTCAGTTTTTTAGAGCACTTAAAACCTTTAATGGCAAAAGTTTTCATTTTGATAGAAATATTTCATGAATGTATTAATTTTTTATCTGTTTTCTTAAGTAAAATATATAGAGTGTAGTATAAAATTGCCCCAAAATAGTTAGAAAGTATAACTGTGAATACTTTTTGTGTTTTTGTGTTGTGTTGCCCATTAATTAAGTAGCACCTGCAGAAGTTTTTGAGTATTGCCCTTCTAATAAATAGATGTGTCTTATCTTTGCATATGATAAATTCTGGTTTTGCCCAACTTTTCCTAGCAATGCAGGAGGAAGCTCTAAAGCTGGTTCTCTTGGCCTTGGAAGATGGTTCTGCTTTGTCAAGAAAAGTATTGGTTCTTTTTGTGGTGCAAAGGTTGGAGCCACGGTTTCCTCAAGCCTCTAAAACTAGCATTGGGCATGTTGTCCAGCTCCTTTATAGAGCCTCCTGCTTCAAGGTATGAACCAGGGAACCAGCGTTACATTTGGGCTTGAAAGGAAACCTTGTCTTTTTCCCCAACTTAAATAGTAAATCTTTGAGTTTAATAAAGTTGCCCCCTCAGAAAATTTCAACATTTCAAGAATGTAGATGGTATCCTATTAAAGTTAAATCTTGTTACATTGAATTTTGTATATTAGATAGTGAACAACATAAACCGAGGCTTATATAGATGTTTATATTTGAAGAGACCATTAAACTGTGTCATTTCCCCACCGAGACTATAAGCAGAATTGGTCTGAGCAGAGAGTCATTGAAGCAAGAAGAAATTTTATTGGGCTCTTTGCTCCTGCTATAATTCCATATACACAGTGGGGTTAAAACAGTACTGGAGCTCCATTTGCCACTTTCTTTTCAGTGTAGATAGTAATGCTGGACTTCTTCTTTTGTATCCCAGATTGAATCAGCACTGCTTCCAACATTGGTGCTCACTATGTATCATTTATTTTTCATCCTGTTTTCCTGACTTCTTAATGTCAAGGCTTCTTCTAACTTTTTTAATGTTTATTTTTGAGAGAGAGGGAGAGGGAGCCTGTGTGCACAGCTGGGGGAGGGGCAGAGAAAGGGAAACAGGATCCGAAGCGGGCTCCCAGCGCTGACAGCAGAGAGCCAGCCCGACATGGGGCTTGAACTCACAAACCATGAGATCATGACCTGAGCTGAAGTCGGATGCTTCACCGACTGAGCCACTCAGGTGCCCCATCTAAGGCTTCTTACTTCTGACACAACACATAATTAGTACTTCATGAACCAGGCATGCCTCTGAAATTGTTTTAATTCATACAGCCTATAAGGAAATCCATTCCTTGGTCACCATGTCCCCTCATCTGACACTCAAACTAAAGAATCCTATGTCCTACTATAGTCTTGTCTATGTTCTCATTTTCTGAGAATGATGAAATGGTTCACAGAATCAACAGCAAAGCATACCAATTTAATTAAAAAAAAATTTTAAGCTCTAACTAAATGCCAATATTCTTAAGTTTCTTTCTAGAGACAGATTAAATATATATACTGAAAATGTGCTGTGGACTCCAGGTTTGTACCCAACCCTGTTCTTGCCGTAAGCACCTCTGGAACTGTGAGAAACTCTAGCCAAAATAACTCCCAACTGGTTCAGATTGTCCCCGAATAACAACATTTGTTGTAATGATTGTAATAACATGATTTTACAGTGTCGTCTGGAATACAGTTTAGAATGTCTGTCTGCTTCCAAAGTTCTTTGTTCTCTACTAACAGCACCAGACAGATACAGTATTGAAGCTTGAAAAAGAAAATGAAAAAGGAAATCTAGCCTTCTCCTGTGAAGTAGTAAGCGATCCAAAAACCCTAGAATACCTACAGTGAACCTCTTTCAATCCTAATTAGAAGTATTAATATAATTAAAAAGAGATTGGAAGTTGCAAAAAATCCAGTTTTTCACTTGAGTCATGATTATGTTTCTTTATTCTATTGTCTGCCTGTTTTCTTCTCTTGCCGGTAATAATGTACTATTAGTACATATTAACTAAATTAACTAAACATATTAACTATTAGTTATTAACATTTAATATAATATTAGTTATTAACAGTTAACATAATATTAACAATTAAACATTAACTAAATTAACTCATTTAATTCTCTAAGCTTTTCCCTCTTCCTTGCAGCTATATGTGTCCATATAGTTATGTCCTTTTAGCATCTCTTTTATTTCCATTTGAAAAACCTTTTCAAACTGGGATAATTCTGGTCCTTCTGAGTACAGTTATAGTTCCAGGAGTTACTTTAGACATTGCATCTCTTGGAAATCTTTGATTGTTTTTAGTTAAAAGAGAGTTCTGAGAGCCAAGTCCAGGGAACCCTATTATATCATATAGAAAACATTCTACATTTTAATAATATTTAGCTTATATTGAGAGTATGTTTTTGTACATACTCATACACATGTGGTCTTTTGACTTGCCTTTAACAAGTCAAACAAGTCTTTAACAAGATTTTTCTTTTAATCAGTTGGTCTTTGTACGGAGTTAGCTAACAAAATTTAAGTTAGACTTTCTTGGAATAAGAATGGAATACATTTTAAAATACAATGTCAGTGTGACCTAGAAATCTTAACTAACATATTCTGTAGTTTTTCTTTGATGGAAAAAAAATGAAAATTTTCTACTAGAGGAAATTGAGACCTTACGAGAATAAAGCAATGATTTTTAAAAAAGAAAAAAATACTCATGCAGTTATTGTGAAAAAAGCAATGTATGTTTCTTCTTCATAACTGTGGATTATTGCTGTTGGGCTTGCTTGGCGTTGAGCTAGGTGGTACTCCTAACAGAGCACCATTCAGATGCTGGCATGATTCTAAAAATGAATAATCTGTGCTTAGCTTAATTTTCCATGGAGTTTTGCAGTCCAGGCCACCATCAGAAAGTGCAAAATAATAATGATAATATCTTTTAGTGATTAAAATGATTAACACTTATTGAGCCCTTAGCATGTGCTAGTCAGTGTGTTAACTTATTAACCATCATATTGACATATTAACTCATTGAATTCTCTAAGCTTGTTGAGGTAGTTACAGCTGTTATTTTTGTTATATCGTTACATTTTGAGTCAAGTGGGGTTTAGGCCAAAGGCTCATCTCGTCCAGGAGCACCTGTATCCTAATATACTGTAGAATATATTTTACCTTAACACACATATGCGCGTACACACACACATACACACACACACAGACATATGTATATATAAAAAAGTAGGCTCCACACCCAACATGGGGCTTGAACTCATGACTCAGACCAAGAGTCACATGCTCTCACTGACTGAGCCAGCCAGGCGCCCCACATATTTTCTTCTTTTCAGGAATGCATATGAAGGGATGTCTGCGTGTTTCAGTTGGTTGAGTGTCCTACTCCTGATTTTGGCTCAGGTCACGATCCCAGGGTCGTGAGATCGAGCCCCATGTCGGGCGCCATGCTGAGCCTGGGGCCTGCTTGGGATTCTCTCTCTCCTTCTCTCTTTGCCCCTCCCCCACTTGTGCTCATTCTCTCTCTCTTTCTCTCTCCTAAACAAATAAACGTTTAGGGGGAAAATGCATATACACATTCCTACAATTTAAATAAACTGTATATGTGTTAAGGTCTATCCAGTCTTGGGACTTTGCCCCAGCACATAGTCATTCTTTCTGTAAGTCCTATTCAGAAGAGTTTGACATCTATAAAGGGGGAAATGTTTTACACGCAAAACAGTGTGTTCATTTTATCTTGCTTTGTTGCTAAAAGAAATTTGTTATATTAAAAATTGTTCTCTGTATGTGTTCATGTAAAATACAAACTCATTTTGTTTCTTACCTGACTCATGAGATTATGTGTGTCTTACTAGGTCACCAAACGTGATGAAGACTCTTCTTTGATGCAGCTGAAGGAAGAATTTAGAACCTATGAAGCTCTGCGGCGAGAACACGACTCTCAGATAGTGCAGATTGCCATGGAAGCAGGCTTACGGATTGCACCAGACCAATGGTCCTCATTGCTTTATGGAGACCAGTCTCACAAGTCTCATATGCAGTCAATCATTGACAAGGTAGACCCTTTTATGTTCCTTACTTGGACACATCTTGGAGTTTTGATAATTGATGATTTAGTAATTTATTTATTTAACAAATGTATGTTAGAGTGAATACCATATGTCAGGCTCTTCTTACAAGTTATGTTATCTGTAGCTGAGTATCATAACTAGTCACATCATTACCAGTTTGTTCATATAAATTAAATTGATGTACAAGTGACATCATTCATATAAGATTTCACTATAGGGAGCCTGGGTGGCCCAGTCGGTTAAGCGTTCGACTTCAGCTCAGGTCATGATCTCACAGTTCGTGAGTTTGAGCCCCGCATCAGGCTCTGTGCTGACAGCTCCGAGCCTGGACCCTGCTTTCAATTCTGCGTCTCCCTCTCTCTCTGCCGCTCCCCTGCTCATGCTGTATCTCTCTCCCCTTCAAAAATAAATAAAAACATTAAGAAAAAAATAAAAAGATTTCACTGTAGTGTTCTAACGCTTTGTCCTACACTCTTTTGTATTCTTCTTGAGTGTCTTCCATCTCTATTGTTGTTGCCTCTCTTTCTTCTTTCTTCTCTGAGTTTTAATCATTGTTAAATCATTAAGCCCATTTTCTAAAGGCCTTTATTGTCTTCCTATAACAGCCATTTAATGGTCTGGAAGATGTATAAGTTGAGATTTCTTAAGATTCTCAGTCACAATAATTTCACATAAGTTACTGAATCATTCTAGGTTTGATCAGATTTTCAATAAATGTATTTCTACTTTTTCTGTTCTTTGTTATGATATAAAGATCACTAAGAGTACTAGAGTAGCTCCATTATTGCTGACTCTAAGAACTGTATTTAATTTTGTTAAAGCTAGGGTAATACCGTAATTGTTTTTGTTGTAATTCAACATGAAATATATGAAAGTGCAAAAAAAAAAAGGTCTTAAAGCAGCATGTAAATATATTACGTTCAGTAATAGCATTAATTTTTACTATTTTACCTTAAATACTTGTTTTCATTAGAACCCACCTCACAATTTGCAGAAATTAAGATCAATATGTAAGAGTAGTCTAAATATAATACTATTTAACACTTAGTGAGAGCCTACTAATGCCTCGTGGGATAATCATTTAATCCTTTTAATAGACCTGTATTATTAATGGTCTTAAAGGTATTAAAGGAGACAGAGAGAGGTTAAATACATTTCTCCAGGGTAATATAGGTAATCAGTGATGGGGCTGGATTTGAACTCGGGTATAGTGATTCTAGAATCTATGTTCTTAGCCACAAAATCTCTTTCCGGACTATTCTGCCACTTTTTTTTTTTTTTTTTTTTTTTTTTTTTTGCCTGTTCCCAAAGATAGGATTCTTTGAATGAGTAGTGTATTGATGTCAAAGGACAGTTGCAAAATGTGTTTTATAACTGCCTGTTACGTAATTTCCAATGTAATATATTTTTGTCCTATAAATCTTTTCTAGATACTTTTGCCCAAATTCTACCTCCAACTCCTAGGTCTGAAATTATGCAGCTGACTGATGAAAATGTTTTGAAACTTTAGTAATGGTCTCTTATAGGAGTAGCTGTCTACCTCTGAAGAGAAACTTGGCTTGCTTTTATATTCTTTAAGGAGGTTGACCTTTTTGTGTGAACTAGACTATATAATTTAACCTATAACAGTATCCTCACATCATGAGCAGTAGTTCGAATAATATCCAGAGACCTTCTTACAACAAACTGGTAAACAAACTTTGCAGTGTATGTGGCATCTTTTCATGCAGAGCAGTAGAACTTTCTGTGGTAATGAAAATGTTTTATAAATGCAGTGTCTAATTGGTGATCGATCACTAACCACCCACAGCTGTTTAGCACCCAGAATGTGAGCATGCAACTGAAGAACTACATTTTTATTTTATTTTATTAATTTAAACTTAAATAGCCACTTATTGCTAATAACTACTGTGTTGGACAGTGCAGATAATTTATTAAAAGTGATATGAAAAGCAATAATCATAGTAAATTAGTGGACAAAGAAACATGAACTATCAGTTCACAAAGAGGAACTACATTTAATTGATAGGATAGAACTCAACTCCAGTAATAATTAAATACACCATTAAAATAGTGACATAACAAATATTGCCTATTATATTAGTCAAAGAGACATATATTGCCATACATTGCTGATGGTTTGTAAAATGTATTACAGATCTTTTGGGAAACAATTTGTCAGTAAATAAAAACAAAATATTCATGTCTTTTGATCAAATTTAATCTTGCCAGGAACTTATTTTAAGGAAATAATCCAAACTTTCAAAAATGTTATGAGCTCAAAGGCATTAAATTGCTACATTATTTATAAAGGAGAACATATGCAGATTGTTAAAGAAGTTGTCTATCTTTCTGCTCAGAACTCCGTTACATGGTGATTAAAATTAGTTATTTCAGGACTGATACTCTCTACAGCTGATATATAACATTCAATTTCTTTAAAAGTCAGTGAAATATTTTTATTAAGTCCTGGTGGTGGATACATGGGTGTCGTCATTATATTAGACACTTTGAAATATTTCATAATGAAAAGGGTAGCAATATAAAAATGCTTTTGTTATAATATTAATGGTAGCCAAAACCATAAGTTCATAAATGGCTGATTATATAAGTGTCTAAAAAGCATGCTAAGATGAAAAAATTGAATAAAGGCGTGTGAGCATTCAAATGATAGTTCTGTTATTTTTCATGTTTTTTAAAATGTATGCTTTTTTTAAAAATTACCTTTTAAAGAGTGATCTTTTGTGGGGAAACAATTCTGATCTATATTAATAAACTACATAGAGAGCTAAATGTTTCCAAGTAAGACCCTTTAGTCACTATAACCTAATCAATTTCCCCTCTTAAAGTTCATATGTGTGTCCATCTTAGGAGAGTTAATGTGAGAAGTATGTCATAAAGCTTTAGAAAAATACACAATCTGATCGCTTCCAAGAATCCCAAACCATTCTAAGATTTTTTTTTAAGCTGGAGTGGACTTTTGAAATTATTTAGTCTGTATAGCAATTGGACTTCAGATTGAGTCTGTAAAGGTTATATCCAGTGTCATGATCTTTGGTCAGTAGTAGAACTTGAACTCAAGCTAGTTTGATGGAATTCAGTTTCATTGTTCTTGGTATTGTATAGCTTTATCTCGAGACTCCAGATTTCAGTTATTTGGAAGCACTCCAAGAGCCAAACTAATAGTGCCCTAAGAACGTAAGGTGGTAAGAGTCTACTTCCAAATTGAGGAATTGAGAAAGGTCTCACATTTGACGAATGTGCATCAGAGGGAAGAGAGTTTACAGTATGTCAAGCTGTGAATGCAGGGAAGTGCAGGCTTTGTTGAGGCAGCAGGTAATCCAGTCTCTAGCCAAAGCATGGAATGTGTGGGAGGGTAAAATTAAAGGTAATAAATTGCAAAAATGATTGCAATATTTTAAGTAATTTTTATTTTAAAAGGATTATCTGGTTTTTGGAAAGTTAATATTTTTCTTTTTTAAGTTGCAGACCCCAGCGTCTTTTGCACAAAGTGTTCAGGAACTAACAATTGCTCTCCAGCGAACTGGAGATCCAGCAAACTTGAACCGACTAAGACCCCATTTGGAGCTACTGGCAAACATTGACCCTAGTCCAGGTAAATAAACCCAAGGAAAATAAGTGGACTGTCCTATGTGTGTCTCAGTGCTGCTCAGTGATTCTTTTAATTATCTTTTGTTGCATTCCTCAAGAATTTCCCAGAGTGGTTACTCCAGACCTTTTACACCGTATTTAAATTTCTGACCACGATCTTGTCCATCTATCTCTTTATTGCTTCAACTAACACTTAATACTTTTTGCCGTACTGCTCACTTGACCAGGAAAGTAATTCACTCTGGGATCCTTTTTGTTTTCTCTTTTTTGCATCACAAAATTATGCTGTATTTACCATTCTCATCTGCTTTGACAAAACTCAAGTTCTCTCATTTTGTCTCACTATGTATGTGTGAGCTTGAGTTCACCCATACGTCCATACATACACACATACATATAGAAATGCAATTCTATATATATTTCATATTTTTCATATGTCCTTAGTTGCATTTTCTTGGTCCCAGATTTTTCCTTCTCTGTGATAATGGTGTCTTATTCATCAAGTATCCTCTCTTGCATATTTTTACTTTATCAGCCCTTTTCCTACTCCTTCCCCTTGACCTGAAAATCACTCAACCTTCATTTTTCACATCTAAGGTATTTTAAAATCCTTATGTCCTATTGCTGTCCCTGTGTTTTATTCATGCTGCTTGGCTAAAACTCTTACCATTCACTAGCAATTTATCCCATTTCTTATTCCAAAGGCTTCTTCTCAGTCCTCAAATTACTTGGTTTCTCTTTAGCGTTTGATGATGTTGTTAACTAATTTCTTAATATAGAACTTTCCTGGAGCGCCTGGGTGGCTCAGTCGGTTAAGCATCCAACTCTTGATTTCAGCTCAGGTCATGATCTCTCGGTTCATGAGATCGAGCCCCATGTCAGGCTCTGCTCTGGACAGCATGGAGCCTGCTTGGGATTCTCTCTCTCCCTGTATACATGCTTTCTCTCCCTCAAAACACAACAAAAAAACTCCTGATCCCTTATTATAGAGATATGCTTACTTTGACCACTCTTTCCTCTCCTGCCCACTGAGGAGTAGGCCAGTTGTATTCTTAGAATTTTGTTTTCTCTGCATTCTATTGGTGATGGTCATTTGTTACTCTCTGCAGAGAACAGATTCCCAAATATCTCTAACGCTGTTATCTCTTCATCACTCCAGACTTACTTTACAAATGCTTTCTGAGATTCTCCATCATCTCCTCTTTGTTCTTCAACACAAATTCTTCTTCACTTGATACCAGCTCTTCCTGTGTTTTCTCTGTTAAATGACCTCACTGTCTGAGGTATTTACACTTAAAACCTGAGTCTTTTGTCCTAGTTCATATCTTTGCCTTTCACTTGCTCTACATACCATTTCAGACAATAGGATCTATCTTTTTTCACAATCTCCCTCTATCCCATGCCTGTTAATACTGCCTGGGTGAGGGCTGCATTATTTTCCCCAAGACCAAATGACTTCCATTTTCCTCTGTTCTTTTAATTCTTCCAATCCAGTCCACTTACTGCTGCAAAATAAATCACATCTCTGATCTTATTTCTTTGCTCATAAACTTTCAGTGGCACCCCATTGCTTTATTGAATAAGGTTTGGAACTCTTGACAGTGGCCTTCAGGGCCCTCCGGTTTTTATCAACGTACCTTAATAGGATTTACTACCAAAATTGCTTAATCAAACCAGGTCAGATATATTCCTAGAACTCAGTCATTTTTCTTTTTTCACTACTTTCTTATTCTGAGCAATCAAAAGAGCACTTCCTCATGTTCACTGCCCCACCCACCACCAGCCTGTCTATCTGCATTCCTGACAGTGTTTTCTGCTCTTCTTGTGTGACAGTGGATAAATTGTGCCTCTAAGCTAAGGCCCCTCTCTCATCTCATGTTCTAATACCGTTTTGACAAGTATGTCACTCCAGTATCCTCTTTTTTATATCACCAAGTTTCCTTCTCTGCTAGAGTATTTCTGTCAACAAACACAGCTCCCCGTCCCCCCCCTCCTTTTTTTTTTTTTTTTGCCTGCTGTTGGACTCACTCCAATCAGGCATTTATCTCCACTATTCAACCAAAACTGCTTTGTCAAGGTCACAAGTGACTTCCATGTACTTAGTTGAAACATCACTTCTTGGTTCTCATTTTATTTGACCTGTTAGCAGCATCTAATGTTGTTGTTCACTGTATGATCCTCTTTAACACTTTCTTCACTCGGCTTCTAAGCCACCACGGTTTCCTTCTCATTTTACTGGACCCTCCTGAGCCTCCTTTCTGAGCTGATTTCTCATCTTCATAGCCTCTAATTTTTGGATTGCTCCCATAGTTTAATCCATGTATCTCTTTTCTGTTTATACCCATTCCCTAGATAATCTCGAGTCTCATAGCTTTAAATAGTATTTATACAACTCACAAATTTACTATATTTCATCAGTTCTGAAGCCCACATTTTTTTCAGATCTTAGCATTTCTGAAATTGGGATGCATCTGTATAAATAATGACATGATAATCTAATTAACAATATATTTTTCTGTTTTGGTGACACATAAAATAATGGTGTATGTAGCACTTGATTTTGAATCTGTGAAACAGGAGCACCCGGGTGGCTCAGTAGGTTAAGCTTCCAACTCTTAATTTGGGCTCAGGTTGTGATCTCACGATTCGGGAGATTGGGTGCCACCACATCGGGTTCTGCGTTGACAGAGCAGAGCCTGCTTGGGATTTTCTCTTTCCCTCTGCCTCTCTCTCCCTCTTTCTCTCAAAATAAATAAATGAACAACGACAACAAAAAACGTATCTGAGAAACATGTATTATATCCAGCCCAAACCTCCTTCCTGAATTCTTTTGTATATCCACCTTCTCGCTCAATATCCAGAAGGTCTACTTGAATGTCTAGTATGAATTTCAGACTTAACCTGTTCAAAAGTGAGCTCTAAGCACTGCTCCTACCCCACTCCCATTCCTTTTAGTGGCAGCTCCAACCTTCCATTTCATTTTCTCCGTGCAAACACCTTAGAGATCTCCATAACTTTTTTTTCTCTCATATGTACATGTGATCCAACAGCACATTCTGTAGGCCCTCCCTTCAAAATCCATCTGCTTATCACCTTCACTATTACCACTCATCTCTCTTCAGAGATTATGGAATAGCTTCCTGTTGTCTGTCTGTTTTTAGCATAGAAGCCAGAGTGATTCTCTTAACCCTCTGCTCAAAAGTTCTCTGATGGTTTCCATCATTCACTAAAAGTGAAACTCTTGCCCGTGACCTACCAGGCCCCACATGATCTGGGGTTCTTTACTTCTTTCTAACCTTGTCTCCTATTCTTTTCCACCTGATTCATTCCTTTCCAGTTTCACCTCTACAGAACATGCCAGGCATCCTACCACATCAAAGCCTTCTCACTTATTCTTACCTTTCCGTAGAACATTTTTCTCCTGATATATCCACAAGACATACTCATGCCCTTCTTTCAGGTCTTTAATCAAATGTGACCTTCTTAAGGAGACCTTCTCAGGCCACCCAGTCTAAAGTTTTACACATACCCGTCCCACTCCCCCTCTTTGCTCCATTTATCCAAGTCATCGTTATGTAAATAGTTTGTATTTTGGTTATCTTATTGTCTGTCTCCTCTCTTTCAATATAATGGATTTTTGTTTTGATCACTACTGCTTCCCCAGCAACTAGAACAATACCTACGACTTATTAGTAGGTATTCTGAAAAATACCTTTTGTATGACTTTCTCTTCACTTTCTCTACATCTTCATTTTGTTTCCAAGTGAAACTCCACGTGTCCTTCAAAGCCTCATTCACTTGCCATCACCTAGAAGTCTTTCAGAATGTCTCCAACAGGAAGTTATCTATTTGTCTTCTCCCTTCTTTTTATATTTTCTGTTAGAGAACATATTTGTGGTTAACTTTTCCTTTATAAAATCACAGTGCTGGCACTGGACAGATACTTACTAAATGAAGAAGATATGTAGTAGAGTTGCTTTATATAGTAACTCTTCTATTAAACTTCGTAAACATTTTGTTTACCAATACTTGATTTATGCAGAATTTCAAAATGGACATTACAGATTGGTTAGTCCACTATTAAGTTTTGTTTGGACTGCACAGTATGGATCTGCATAATATTCTGAATTTTTTAGATTCTGATACCTACAAACTTGGTAATTTTACATGAAAATCTCAAATTTCAGTTTTGCTTAGGGAACAGTGTGTATCTGGCAGTGCTAGCTTTGCATCATCACATCATAGCAATCCACTAAAGTTGACAGGTAACCACAACCATAGATGTGGGACATACTCCAGTTCAGCACAGCCCCTGTCACTCTTCTGTTGTCATTTCCAACACTAAGGGTCTAATGGCAGTCGCCATTTATTGTCTGGTGTACTTAATTTCTTTATGTTAGCTTCCCTGTCCCTGTAGTTATTTTAGTTTACAGTCCATTCCTTAAAATGATGTTTAGGCAAATAAGTTATTACCTGAAAAGCTACATGAAGCCTAACTTGATTTCACTGAAGTTCTGATACTAACTCTTTTAATTAGTTCCATAGTGGGAACGTCAAATAGCATGCATCACTGAAAGATTTTTTTAATTTGTTATGTAGATGCTCCTCCTCCCACTTGGGAACAGCTAGAAAATGGGCTGGTGGCTGTGCGTACAGTGGTCCATGGTCTGGTAGACTATATCCAAAACCATAGCAAAAAGGGAACAGACCAACAGCAGGTAAGGGGAATGTTTGAAACTTAGAAGTAAGGCACTGTGGATGTTGTGACAGATACAAAGCCGACAAGATGACATGAATATTTTGAGACTATGACTGTAGAACTGTAAATTAGTATGGTGAGCAGCCAATTTAATGGATTAGTCTAGTAATCTTACGTGGCAACATTGAAATTAAATAATCCTGTTTATCTAATGTTGTATTGGAGTCATGTTTCACATTGAATATATAGCAGCATTTGATTGTGTGTAAAGGTATGTATTTAAGTAAATGATTCTCTTTGGTTCCTATTCTATTTCAGTTAGACAATATATATCACTTTTTAATGCTGTATCTGTCCAGTACTGTTCACACATTTGTAAATACTTTTTCCATAGCAGTATTTTAACATTTTTTATACATATAATGTCTGTTGTGCCAGTGGGCCAAATTTTCTTCAAATACTTTTTTTTTTTTTTTTTCAACGTTTATTTATTTTTGGGACAGAGAGAGACAGAGCATGAACGGGGGAGGGGCAGAGAGAGAGGGAGACACAGAATCAGAAACAGGCTCCAGGCTCTGAGCCATCAGCCCAGAGTCTGACGCGGGGCTCGAACTCACGGACCGCGAGATCGTGACCTGGCTGAAGCTGGACGCTTAACCGACTGCGCCACCCAGGCGCCCGTCTTCAAATACTTTTAAATGAAGTGTATGGCAGTAAAATGTAAGAGCTTATGTTATGGTTGGTTTTTAATTTTATTCCCAATAATTTTATCTTGCCCTCAGGATTCATGTTAGAGTTATTAGATCTTCTATTTTGCATTCGTAAGCTTGTGAAATTAAAATTTTATATTTATATGGTTCAGGTAAATATTAACAATAGCTTCTCCGGGGTGCCTAGGTGCCTCAGTCAGATAAGCGTCTGACTCTTGATTTCGGTTCACATCATGATTAGGTTCGTGAATTCAAGCCCCACGTCAGGCTCTGAGCTGAACAACACGGAACCTGCTTGAGATTCTCTTCCTCTCTCTTTCTGTGCTCCCCGCCCCTGAAATAAATATTTAAATTAAAAAACACACACACAGTAGCTTCTTCAATATTTCTTTTTTCTTTGAGAGGCAAGAAATATTAAACATATCCTGCTGAGTTGCCGGGGGGTGGGGGGCGGGATGCCTGACAGGTTCAGTTGGTAGAGCACTCTTGATCTTGGGGTTGTGAGTTCAAGCCCCTTGTTGGGTATAGAGATTGCTTAAAAGTCGTTTTTAAAAAGTATTCTGAGTAGAATAATATGGGTACAATTCTTAAATAGTCTAAGCATAGACCAGACTTTATTTTATGATAAGAAATAAAGATTAAAAACTTATTTTTAAATCTCTGTTCCATTAGACATCATAAAGAATGTAACAAAAATAATAAGATTAATCTAAGTTCTGCAAAAAGTGATAAAATGCATCAAATTTCATTTAACTTAGTATTATGTTTGATACCTCATTAACTCCCCAAGTCCATCCTCCTTGTCTTGTATGGGAGTTGCAAATAATAAGTTTCATTTGTACTTTTAGAAATATTGTAAGTCCTTGATATGTTCTTCTGCATATCAAGAATTGTTTGCAGAGTATTGTTCAGTTATGGAGCCTACTATAGATTTGTGTTGTCTCATAGGAAAACATAATTGGAAGTATAGCTATACTAAATATTGTCCAAAACAAATATTAGGACATACAGTAGACATTTGCAGGTCCTAAACTCCAGTGGTTTGTCCATTATAGAACCTGGAAAGAAAGTCATAAAGCCCTTATGACATTTAATCCAGGATTTATGTGATGTTACATGTTAGAGACGTTAGGCCAACATATGAAAAAATCAGGACTCCGTTCTTTTAATTAATTATTTTTGGACTCCTAGACTTTAGACAGAATGACTTTCTAAGTGACTTTTTGCTCTGCACAGTCTAGATAATTGTGTGAGTTAGTCTGAAGTCAGCGTCTAATGTTTTAATTTTGGTCTCAGCCTCCACAGCACAGCAAATATAAAACATACATGTGTCGAGATATGAAGCAGAGGGGAGGATGCCCGCGTGGGGCCAGCTGTACATTTGCACACTCACAGGAGGAACTGGAGAAGTAAGTGTAAAGGTTATCAAATTCAACTTTCTAATAACTTGTTATAAAATAAGGTAGAGTTACTAAGTAGAATAATTTGCCACTGTTGAGAAACAGAAAAAGAGTAGTTGCATGCTCTTTAATGAATGGGAAATATTTAGAAAGTAATACAGTATTGTAAAACTTAAGAAAACTGAAGCAGTTTCTTCAGCTTTCATTACATCGTGCCCACAAATAGGAAACTAAATATAGAAGTGAGTCATTTGCACTTTCTCCCCAAAATTAAAACTCTTAAGAATTTTCATCCATTCTAACTTACTGATTTTAAATAATTGAATAATGTATTTCCAGTGGAAAAACTTGCCCTTTGCTCAATTCAAGAAATTACTTTATTGCCAGGCTTAACTTCCCAGATTCTCTTAAATTTCAAAGATCAAATAATTCCACTGATGTTAAATTTCCCAGCACATAGTAGAAAGAAAAGAAAATGAATTGTACTCATATAAACTAAAATGGGAAACATAACCAGAATGGAAATTAAAGCTCCCATTGGCATTACCACCACCACCACCACCAACAACAACAACAAATACCAAATAAAAAATTAACAAGAAATATTGAGGACCTGTGTGAATTGAATTAGTAAGCTACCTAGGCAAATAAGAATTGAATAGGGGCACCTAGGTGGCTCACTTGGTTAAGCCTCCAACTCTTGATTTAAGCCGAGGTCATTGTCTCTCAGATTGTGAATTCAAGCCTTGCATCGGTCTCTGTGCTGACAGCATGGAGCCTCCTTGGGATTCTCTATCTGCCCTTCCCCTGCTTGTGTGTGCACATGTGCATGCACGCGCTCTCTCTCTCTCTCTTTCTCTCAAAAATAAACATGGGGTCGGGGGTCAGAGAGAGAGACAGAATCAGAAGCAGGCTTCAGGCTCTAAACTGTCAGCACAGAACCCAAACCCACAAACCGTGAGATCATGACCTGAGCCAAAGTCAGATGCTTAACTGCTTGAGCCACCGAGGCGCCCCTAAAAAAAATCTTTCAAAATATTAAATTAAAAAAGAGAAGAATTGAATAAATAAAGAAGGATACTGTGTTCTTGGATAAAAATTCCCATTATACAGGTTTTATTTTCTCAGTAAATTCAGTGAAATCTCAATCAAAACCTTAACATGATGATTGTTAGGATCTAACAAAATCATTCATTGGGAAAAGTAAATATGTGCAAACGGCCAGAGAAATTCTGAAAAAAAGAAGTTTTCAACAGACTGGACTAGACTATCAACTTTTAAAGTGTATTATGAGCTGAAGTGCATATAAAGACTGGTATTAGCATAGGAATAGCTAGATCAATGAAGTACAATGGAAAATCTAGAAAGAATGCCAGACACAATAGGAACTGAGCATTTGTGCTGAAGATGGAATTTCACATCAGTAACAAGGAAGATGACATTGAAACAACTGCTGTCCATTTGAAAAATCATTAGAACTCAATTCTTACCTTTATACCAAACCGAATTATAAACGTATCAGAGATCTAAATCTTTAAGAAGGAAATGATACACTACTTAGGGATCTTTGCTGTTTTTGTTAACCTAATCTTACAATAGGAAAGGATTTTTTCAAGAATGACAACCCAGCATCCATAAAGGAGAAGACTGATAAATTTGATTACAGAAAAGTTAAGATAAGGCCCAAACACCAGAATTCAAAAAAAAAGATTGCTAGGGAAATGACATACAGAGGACGTACCCCTAACACAAAATGAGTTGCTACAAATCTGTAAGAAAGAGAAGAACCAGTAAATATATGGCTCATGAACATATAAGCACTTCACAGAAGAAATAGTAATGAACATGTAAAAGTATGTTCAACTTCATTGATTGTTAAATACAAATTAAGACAAAATTATATTTTGAACTATCAAATTCATAGAGACTGTAATACTACCCAGTGTGTGATAAGATAATGAAAAAGGACATTTTTTAAAATATTATCAGTAGGAGTTATAATAGTTTTGGAACATTATAACAGTTTCTAATGTGCATAGAGTAAGTAGACTTAGCTGTTCTGCTTCTAGTTAGTTACACAAGGGTGCAAGTACATGTACAGAAGCACCTGTTACTGCATTTTTTTTTTAGCAAAAAATAGGAATAGCCTAAAATGTACCAACGTAAGGGAATATCCAGAATGTGAAAGGAAGAAGTTACGACCCTATTTCTGTTAATAACAATCTTATATACATATTAAGGCAGTGTGTGGAGTGGAAAATCTGCAGGATTATGTACCAAACTGCTAACGGTGGTTATGTCTGAGGAGTAGTGTCTCCTCCCCACCCCTATAAAATTTGTCCAATATGGGAAACATTTGGAAAAATAGCATTATTCTTATGGGAGTTTGTCTTTGAGATTATTTTTTAAAGTGCTCTAGCAAGAGTAAATACATTTGCTTTCATTGTTGAGGAACAAGGGTAGTAGAGGCTGATGGCTTGGCTTAATATTTTTCCTGTGGTTAGATTTACAATCTACATGCCTTTTATACTGCAGTATCTGTTTATATTTAGGCATTATGTTTTCACTAATCCACTTTTAGAATAATTTCAATTTTGTGTAGGCATACATAGCATCAGCATCTCTGAATCGTATCTGATACAAATTACTATTCTTGATTATATACAAATTTTAATGGAGGAGAGCCTGTGTGGTTCAGTGTATTGAGCATCCGACTCTTGGTTTTGGCTCAGGTCATTATCCCCCCAGGGTTGTGGGATCGAGCCCTGCGTTGGACTCTGTGCTGAACGTGGAGCCTACTTGAGACTCTCTCTTTCTCACTCTTTCCCTCTGCCCCCATCATGCTCTCTCTCTAAAATTAAAAAAAAAAAAAAAAATTACTGGAATAAATGGCAAAATTTTCTCTGTACACAGGCTTTATGTTTTATTGTTATAGTATAGAGTCACTGTATCCCAAGGCATTCGTGGGGAAGCTAAAGCAAAATATTTCAGAAACTGTCTTCTAAAGATTTTCCTTACTCCCTCTAAATATGTTTGAGAAATAGAACTTACAATAAAGTAAGTTATAATACAAATATTAATATGATTAGTAATGTTACAAATACTTATAAGGAATTTTATACTTCGTGTGTTGCCTGACATTTTATAGGGTATACACACATACAAGTTTTCAGGTTGATAGCTACAGCCAGTGTTTCAAGAGAATTTCCAGAAAGTAATGTTCTTGGCATCTTTTCCTTTTGTATCTGTTTCTTAAATACATTTTAGTGCTTGGTTTCGCTTTTATAATTTTGGGTTTTGGTGTATGCTTTTGCTTTTTATATAGGTTTCGTAAAATGAACAAACGCCTGGTTCCCAGAAGACCCCTGAGTGCCTCTTTGGGTCAACTTAATGAGGTGGGCCTGCCCTCAGCAGCTGTCCTTCCAGATGAAGGTGCAGTGGATCTGCCTAACAGAAAAACCCCCGCTCTGCCAAATGGAATTGTATCAGCAGGGAATACGGTAACACAGCTGATTCCACGAGGGACAGACCCCACCTACGATTCTAGTCTGAAACCAGGAAAGATAGATCATCTGAGCAGTAGTGCCCCTGGATCCCCTCCTGACTTGTACGTTATTTTTCCTAATTTTTATTTAAAATTTCTCCTTTATAAACAAAGTAGAGGGAAGAAAGATAATCAGTGTTTTGGTTTAAAAAAAAAAACAACTCATTTTTGGCTATATTTTATTTTCTATGCCAGTTCGTTTTAAGAAATAATTAGCATAAGTGACATAAGATCAAAGTTTACAAATTTTGTAAAAGAAATGACTATTAGGAAAAAACAGTTTTCCGGGGTGCCTGGGTGGCTCAGTTGGTTGGGCATCTGACTCTTGATTTTGGTTCAGGTCATGATCTCTCGGTTTGTGGGTTCAGGCACTCACAGCATGGAGCATGCTTGGGATTCTCTCTGTGCCCCTCCTGCTCACCCATGCATTTGTGTCCCCACCCCGCCCCCCGCCCCCACTCAAAATAAATAAAAAAAGAAAAAGTTTCCCAAATTGAGTCTTTTTTTTTTTTTTTTTTTTTTTTTTTTTTTTTACATTTACAATATGTGTATATTAGAAGTATTTTTGAGACCTTAAAGTTGACCTTTGGAATTTTATTCTTTTAGGCTGGAATCTGTCCCTAAGAGTATTTCTGCCTTACCTGTGAATCCACATCCTGTACCTCCAAGGGGGCCAACAGACTTGCCTCCTATGCCTGTCACCAAACCCCTTCAGATGGTCCCACGGGGTTCTCAGTTATATCCAGCGCAACAGGCAGATGTTTATTATCAGGATCCTCGAGGAGCTGCCCCACCATTTGAACCAGCACCTTATCAGCAGGGTAATGATCTTTTATTTATGTTGCTCACTTTTCTTAGGAGTTAGAACAATTCCAAGAAAGAGTGATCATATTTACAGAAGCCTCGAGGTAAATAAATGCACTTATTTAATACTGTAGAAAAAGTTGAGACTTTATGATCAACTAAATAGTATAAAATAAGTGAGTTAGCAAAGCTTTATAAATAAACCAACTGCCCAAATCACTGAAAGCTAGTTGTATATCAAATATGTGCATATATTTGTGGAAGTAACAAGTCACCCAAGTAGACCATGGAAAGAATATTATGGTGGGTACACACACTATGTTTTTCAGTTATCACATAATACTTTTGGGGGCCCTGTAACATTTATGAGAATAATGCAGCATACATGGTATAGAGAGTTGATAGTGTAGAATCAATATTAATAAACGATAGTGTGAGCGTACATATGTTGTATATATATGTGGGTATGTGTGTGTTTAAAATTCAGCGTTCCATTGTGGTAGTTAATGTGGGAGAGATGAACTGCAAGACTCAAGGGAGATCACTGAGAATTAAGAAATCAAAAAGACTTTATGGAAGAATGCTCTAACTAGAGGTATGGGAATAGAAAGATAAATTTACAAATGGATTGCAAAGATGACAGTCTAGAGTCAAGGAGTAGTAAGGAGACTGTTGTTAAACCAGGTTTTGAGTATTGAGACCTAGATTAGTGCGTTCAGAAAGAAGAAGGGATTTAAGGAAATAGGCAAATTTGAAAAATTAGCCAGTTTTAATGATAATACCAGGTATGGATAATAGAGGAGATGACCAAGAGGCTTCACATACACAATTGCTATGAAAAAACATGAACACTGCTTTTTAAACTAAAGTGTTGGATCTCTGTCAGAGACAGTATAGTGCTATTATTTTTTAAACTGGGATAGATCAAAGACGTTCTCCTTTTTTCCCCAAGGCTATCTTAACTTTGAATCAGAAATGCCTTCTCTACTTTCAAAAGAATAGCTTTAAATTGGTATGACATTGTCAGTACACATAAAAATATGATGAAAGGTTTTTGTATCTTCCTTTGGGCCATCCATCACAGGAAAAACTCAAGTACTTTTGAGTACTTAAATACATTGTATCAGTCAGGGTCCACTGGCAGATAACAGAAATCATTCTTGCTGCATTAAGCAGAAAGAGGTTTAATGCATGGCATTAAAATCAGTGGAAAGTATTGGAGAAGTAGGCTTAAGCTAGGCCTCCAGGAATGACTCTCAGAAGTAGCTACTAAAAAAGCCCAATTACAATGAGGAAGCAGTAGAAATAGAATTTTGGGGTCCTACCTGTGCGCCAGGATCACATCACTTGAGACAAAAGTCTGAAAATTAGGAAGCTACTGCCACAACTTTTGTCTCAAGAATTCTAGAGCTATGCAATAGCTACTATGTCTGCACACAGTTTGTGTGCCATGTTGCTTTCTAGTTAACTCAGTTTCACATTCAGAATTCGTGTGAGTGATTTGTGGAACCCAAGTCTCAAGGGAAGGTAGTCTTTTGGTTTCCAATGTTTGCATCGTGTTAAGGCACACCAGAAAGATGGTCGATTGAGAGAGCCAGTCTGCTATTGTAGTTTATAAATAGATTAGGTTTTTTGGTGACTTTTAAGGATTAAGGTTAATTTCTGCTTATTTTTCATAAAGTTAGCCTGATGACATAAGCAGAAGGGAAAACCTAAAGAAATGGATTTTGAATTCTTTAGTGTTGAGATATTTCAAAAGGGAAAATATGAAAAGATAGATTGGCTTATTGTTGCTTTTGGTTCCTCCTCTGCATTGTACAGGTATGTACTACACTCCACCACCACAGTGTATGTCCCGCTTTGTCAGACCGCCACCATCTGCTCCTGAACCTGGTCCTCCCTACTTGGATCACTATCCACCCTATCTCCAGGATCGTGTAGTAAACTCTCAGTATGGCACACAGCCACAACAGTACCCACCTATGTACCCGCCACACTATGATGGCCGCCGAGTGTACCCTGCTCAGTCGTACACAAGAGAGGAGATTTTCCGAGAAAGTCCTATTCCCATTGAGATTCCACCTGCAGCAGTGCCATCCTATGTGCCAGAATCCAGAGAAAGATACCAACAGATGGAGGGTTACTATCCAGTGGCTCCCCATCCAACTCAGATCAGACCTTCGTACATCAGAGTATGCTGGGCTTTTTTCTTCCTATATAGATTTAATTTGATTGTTGTTGCAGTGATATACCTTTTAGCCATGGTAATAACCCTTTGATCAATTCTTTTTTGTAAGAAGCTTCCCCCCCCCCCTTCCTTTTTTACATCTTTTCACAATTTGGGTAGGATTTTGGGGTTTGTTTGGTTTTTTTTTAAACCATTAAAAGGGATAAAAAACCCCACCCCACTCCCACTAACTCTTCTTAGTCTCTGAAGTTTAGATAGTTTATTTAACATTTCTATATCTACATTTGACCCTTGAACCATGCAGGCGTTAAGGGGCAGAACCCTGCCTCATGCAATCAAAAACCCATGTAATAACTTTTGACTCCCTGAAGACTTAACTGCTAATAGCCTACTATTGACCAGAAGCCTTTACCAATAACATAAATAGTTGGTTAACACATTTTGTGTGTTATATGTATTATATGCTGTATTCTTACAATAAGGTAAGCTAGAGAAAAAATGTTATCAAAATCGCAAGAGAAAATGTATTTACAGAACTGTATTTATGGAAACAAATTTTTATGAGTGGACCTTTGCCATTCAAGCATGTATTGTTCAAGGGCCAACTTTATTTAGAAATTATGGTCTCTGGCTAAGAAAAAGAAACTTAAATTTAGCTCTTTGGGAAATCCTCAAGAGTTTTTTTGGGTGGGTTACTTATTTTGTTTTGCTTTGTTGCAGTAAGTCTCAGGATTTTCACATATTGAGATGAATATACAAGTTGCTCTCTATTTAAAATATGTGCTAAATGAATTAATGTGTTCTGAAATTCTCAGTTTTTACTAAACTTTGCATTTTCAGGAGCCTCCTTATAGCCGGCTTCCTCCTCCTCCTCAGCCCCATCCTAGTCTAGATGAGCTACATCGCAGACGAAAGGAAATAATGGCCCAGCTAGAGGAAAGGAAGGTTATCTCTCCACCTCCTTTTGCACCTTCACCAACATTGCCTCCTGCCTTTCATCAAGAGGAGGTAAGCACATTATTTTTAGTCCCCTTTATCAATTTTTCCTCCATCATTGGTTTGCTATATGTCTTGTTTAAGTAATCTTGGCTGTTTCCAAGATGATGAAGATATTTTCCTGTGTTTTCTTCTAAAAGGTTTATTATTTTATTTTACAATTACATCTGTAATCCATCTAGAATTGATTCTTGTTACTGTGTTAGGGGTGAAGATCCATTTTTCCCCTGTAGGATGTGTCCTTTACCTAGCACCATTTAATGAAAGGCCATCTTTTCCCTAGTGCTCTGCAGTCATCGTTATCATAATCAGGTCACCTTTGTCATAGTCGGGTAACTGTAAAAGATTCTGGACTCTCTTCTGTTTCATTGATCTATTTCCTCTGTCTTTGTAGTCATACCACATTGTATTAGTATAGTTTTATAATATGTCTTAATATGTGGTGATGTATTTCCAGTTTTGTTATTCTTCAATATTACCTTTGCTGTTCTTAGTCCTTGCAATTTCCAAACACATTTTAGAATCAGCATGTTGATGTTCACAAAAGTATCTGCTGCAGTTTTTATTAGGATTACATCGAATCTCTGGATCTGTGCTGTCCAGTATGGTAAACACTAGCCACATGTTACTAATGAGTACTTAAAATAATATAGCTAGTCCAGATTCAGTTGTACTGTAAACGTAAAATATACACTGGGCCCAAGACTTAGTATGCCCCAGGAGTAAAACATTTCATTAATATATTTCTTAATTCCATGTTAAAATGATAATACTTTGGATGTATTAGATTAAATAGAATATATTAGCAAAAGTAATTTCACCTGTTTCTTTTTTTTTCGTGCGACTGCTAGAAAATTTTTACGTTAATGTATGGGGGTCTCATTTTATTTCCATTGGACATTGTTGTTTTAGATTGGTTTAGGGAGAAGTGACATCTTTCGAATATTGAGTCTGCAAGAACATTATATATCCACCACTTACTTGGATCTTTAATCTCTTTCAGAAATGTCATAAATCATAGTTTTCAGTGTCTTGCACATCTTTAATTAAACTTATTCCTAGATAACTGATGTATATATTTTTTTAATGCTTATTTTTTGAGAGAGAGAGACAGAATGTGAGCAGGGGAGGGGCAAAGAGAGAGGGAGACAACAGAATCCGAAGCAGGCTCCAGGCTCTGAGCTGTCCGCACAGTGCCCGACGCGGGGCTTGAACTCACAAGCTGTGAGATCATGACCTGAGCCGAAGTCAGACACTTAACCAACTGAGCCACCCAGGCACCCCGATAACTGAGATTTTTTTTAATTAATGGAATTCTTCTTGAAATTTCATTTTGTTACTAATACAGAGAAATTTAATAGATTTTTCTGTATTGACCCTTGTATTCAGCAGTGTTGCCGAGTTTCCATGTTGATTCTAGCATATATTAGTGGACTCTTGGATTTTCCATACGCACAATCAAATCCTCTGTGAATAATGACCATTTGACTTTCTCCCTCTCAATTCTTAGGTCTCTTCTTTTTCTTAACCTTGTGCTAGCTAGATCTTCCACTATAATGTTGGTTGAATAAAAGGATTGACAACAAGTAGTCTTATTTCTAGTCGTTGAGTAAATAGAGCTTTTAATAATTTACCATTATTATGTTTACTGTAGGTTTTTTGGTAGATAATCTTTATCAAATTAATGAAATTCCTCTCTATTCTTGTTGTTAGACTTTTAATAAGTAAGATGCATCAAGGATTTATTTAACTCAGTAATGAGGAAAATAGGATGGTGAAATTGATCAAGAGAAAAAGAAAGACAGGTTAATACAGTAATGTGAAAGGCAGGAAAAAAACCCTGAAAGTTGCTAGAATAAACTGGTTAATGTACTACAGGGCTCCAAAGCATAATCTTGCGGATTATCTTTGTGTTTCTGTAGGACACTGGTGATTGTTAATCATGAATGAATGTTGTCTTATGATCTTTTTAATATCTACATGGTCTTTGGTGGTGTTCATTTTCCACTTACAATATCGGTAGTAATTTTTTTTCTTGGTCAGTCTTCCTAGGGATTTATCAAATTTTTTTTTCTTTCTTTCTTTTTTTTTCCCAAAAAGCCAGCTTTTGCTTTGTTGATCTCATTTATTTTGGTTTATTGATTGATTGTATGCACTGCCTCAACAGTGTGTGTAAGTGTTGTTTTGTTTTTTTTTAAGTCAAATAGGTTTTCTCAGCAGGGTTGCAGTTGATACTATGTAAGGAAAATGTCTTACATCCTTTATGTATAGAATTATGATTCTAAACAGGTTTACTGTCTGACAGATTATGAATAATAACAATGAAAACTGAAAAGTGAAGTGCATCACATTGCATATAGTAAGCAGTAATCTTTTGGGTCTGTGAACGTGGTCTACTAAATAACAGTTGTTTAGTTACCCAGCTTTTCTATCTAAACACTTTAGATGAATTTTCCATAATAAAGTAGGTTAATTAGTAAAATCATAACATCTTCTATTAATAATGTAACTTCATTTGTAAATATAAACATTACAGAGAGAGAGCATGAGTGGGGGAGAGGGGCAGAGGGAGAGAGAAAGAATCTTAAGCAGGCTCCATGAGCCAAAATCAAGAGTCGGACATGGGGCGCCTGGGTGGCTCAGCGGGTCAGTGTCCAACTTCGGCTCAGGTCATGATGTTGCACAGTTGGTGGGTTCCAGCCACACGTCAGGCTCTGTTCTGACACCTGAGAACCTGGAACCTGCTTTGGATTTTGTGTCTCCCTCTCTGTCTGCCCCTTCCTCGCTCTCTCTCTCTCTCTCTCTCTCTCTCTCAAAAATAAGTAAACCAAAAAAAAAAATTCGGATGGTCAACCACTGAGCCAGCCAGGTGCCCCAACATTACATTTTTTCAAACATTGTATTTTAGAGTCCTCCTAGAACCTAGTTAGGCCATACTATTTTATCAGCAATATGACACTGCAAAAAGTAAGCTAATTTTGGAATCAAAGATAATTTATCTTTGAAGTTAAGCTGTGTCACTCCATGAGATCTTTTGTAAATTACTTAGCCTCCCTAAACTCTGAAGCTCCGGTTTCTCCATTTATAAACCAAACATAATAAAGCCTACTTCATAGTGATGTGGGAAAGATTAAGTAAGACATAAGGCCTTTGGCACATATCCAGCATTCAATAAATAATAACTTTTTTTTATTTCTAATAAAAATTAGGATCCTCACTATTAAGGAACTTTATTTAGAATTATTTTAGTTACTGTTATGTGATTATATTCTTATATTATTTGTTTGATTATAAACTACATATAATTGTACTAAATTAGTACATTATAAAAATACATAACATAGAGAAATTTCTCCAAAGTCCCATAGTCTATATCACTGTAAATTTGTTATACATTTCAACTTTCTAAATATATTTCAGCTTTTATGTGCACAAACTAATGTATTGTTTTTTAATAGGATCATTTAGTACTATATTCTGAGGTTTTGTTTGCATCTTACTTTTTTTTTTTTTTTCCTTTTACTTAACCAATTATCCTGGATGTCTTTCTTTGTCAGGTATAAACTTATCTCATTCTTTTTAACAGCTGTATAATACATTAGGGTGGGGCGGGGGTAAGCTCTTCTTAGTAGGTCATATCAAGATATGAAAACAAGCTATTGTATTGGTGCCTCAGTGGGTTGAGCACCTAACTCTTGATTTCAGCTCAG